TTCCAGGCCATCGAGAGTGAATTAAATCGTGCGATCTGCTGGTATCTGAGTTGTGACAGATATTGGGAGGACACTAAACGTCATCATCGTCATACACCTTGGTACCTGCTCATCACGTTCCTTTTTCTGCTGTCCTCTGGGATATGTGCTTGTTACTACGTCGTTTCTCTCCTCCTCAGGTATTTCCTTTATAGAGAAATTTTTCCTTCCTGGACCTATGTAAACGAATCCTACAGGAATTTAATTAAAAATGTAATAGTTCACGTAAATTTATCAGATGCATCAACTTTTTTATTGCTTCTTCATCGTTTATTTATTTCTTTTCAATTATCTATTTTTTAATATTTTTATTTCTTCATTGTGCATTGAGTTTATGTAGCTTTGAATTTATTCAATTTTTATCAAAAATTATAACCGGTTGTTTACAGCTCTGGAGAAGACGATTGTATGGACATGGGTGACGATCGGTCAGACGACCGGCCCTCTACCACCTCCTCCCTCCACGATCCAGGAGGAAGTAATCGTCACGACGATCGTCGAAAATACGAAGAGGGTGAGGACAGGCTAGTACCAACTGGAGAAATGCCAGACCATTACATTTACGTCGCCTACCCTCCGGAGCTCAAACGTCGTCTCTTGGAAAGGTAAAAATCACTGACAACTGTATTTTATTTAAAAAATCAGGTCTAATTTTCCACTGACTAATTACAGTTGTTACAACAGAACGACAAGATTATAACTCAAAGATGATAACCAGAGGGAGAAGATTCATCCTCTTGACTCACGCACGCACACAATTATGCGCAACACCCTCCCCAAGAAACCAAGGATATTTCAATAAAAAGAATTACTGCACAGAGGAAGAAATATCCCCTTGGAATTCGGGAGAATTTGGTGAGGAATTCAATAAAGAAGCCACAGGAATATTCATTACATAAATTTTAACTATTCAATTATTTCGAGAATGAATATTTTTGCAAGAAAATGTCAACAAATTTTGTCTTTCTTCGATGTTAATTGGGAATTGAAGGAAAATTTGATAGCTGGGCTTGAAATGATCAATCAGTATTGATTATGAAATAGCCCAGTGAAAGAATTAAAATTTAAGGAATTCCTTTCATTGGGGAAATTTTTCGCTAATGATATTTTCATTAATGACATTTTCGGTAATTGGAAGTGATAATGGATGGATTCAGTTAATGAAAACTGTTGAACTTCTTCTCTGAATTGGTCACCGAAGTCTTTCGAACCTTTGTGATTTAAAACCAATAAGTCATCTTGATGGAACCATCGGAGTCTCTCTGCGTCTCCATGACACTTGATTGTCTCATGAGGAGACGACGAGTGGCAGTTGCTGGTCCACGTGGCTCATCTGATATTGGTTGAGTTGATACCGACTGCATCTCCACGGTCTCACCAGCAGAGAGATCTTCATATGAGGTTGTCGCAGACGGAGGTCTGGAATCAATTGAAACAAATGAATTTAATTGATGAAATATAAACGAGTCAATGAACACAAAAAAGGAAGATCAAGTGAAGAAAAGCGCATAATTGCCAAATTATCATCTTATTTATTTTGCAAATATTTCTGAAGCTATCGGATTTATCCAGCAAGATTTTGAGTTTCTATTTTGATATTTTCCAAGACCAAAAATTTGATTGGAGTACACATTCTTAAATAAAAATAAATTTTTGTTAATTATACAATTATTGAGACGTGCGCTATTTTTGAAACTTTTTCCACGAATTGTTGTAAACGTATTGGTTTCAGATATAGTTGCAAAATAATCTGGGAATGCCATTGGCTATCGAATTTCTCATTTAAAAAATTGCTCACTTGGTGGGTATACATGTAAGGCAGTCGGCGTATGTCCAATCCTTGCCGAAGAGTTCACCCTCTTCAACAGTCTGTGGTAGACGGTGATGGAGTGTCTCAGGCAGTCGTAATCCGGACAATCCTCCGATAACGGAGACCGCCCCAAGTATTACGAGTGGGAGCACTAGATTTTCTTTCCCCTAATTAATTAATTGTTCAATTTAATTGAATAAGAAAATGAGCTAAATTTAATCGATAAGATGTATTTACAACAATTTTTCTTAAACTATTTGGCTACCGTTGATCGAGACTCTCATTAAAATAAATAAAGTGAATTTGAAAATGAATTTTTCCTAGGGTTAAATCTCTTCTGTACTTTAATAAATCCAATTATGCCCATTAATTCGAGTTTAATGAGATTGATTGAGTAAAGCCTTACCAAATAGGTGATGAAGGGGATTATGATGAGACCGAGGCCACTTATATAGGCTGAAAAACCAATTGCAACCCCTCGGAGTTGTGTGGGATAAAGTTCACCAGCGAACGGGTAAATTATCAAGAATGACGCTGATATTGCCGACTTTGAGAGAAGAAATAATATGAGAGTTGTCAGTACCGCATCTAAAAGAAAGTGCCCAATTAACAATATTCACAGGAATCTATATTAAATCAATTAAAAATTCCTCAGTGAAAAGAATAAATTTCAGAAACGAAAAATAAAAAAATTCTTGTTATCAATTTTTTATTGTCTCATCTCCTGAAGGAAAAACAACGCAAAAAAATTATTCCACGATTATGACATTTTGGGAGCCATTAAATAATAATAGAATGCAATAACGGTATTTTTTTCGGGGCAATTTGATCAATGATTTGTTAGAACACTCAGAAAACCGATATTTTTTGCGGAAAGGGCTCATTAAAGAAAGATTGAATAATTATTACTTGAATATTGACTTTACCTGGCGGCAAGAGTACTGTGGCAACACAAGAAAGCCCAGCAGTGACCATACAGAGACACAAAGGCCATCTCCTTCCCCACCTGTCCATGACAACCCAACAAGCCAAGTAACTCGGGATTTCAGCTAGAGAAGAGAAAAAGAAACTCAAGTGTTCCTCGTTTCCTAATGCTGGACCGTAATACGAGAGGCCTACATATACCATATTATTGGCAAACCTGAAAAATATATTTCAGTTTCAATTAAAAAATGAATCATAATTTTAGGCAGTACTTTAACAATTTACATAAAATATAAAATACTAAAATACTGAAATACCGAAATACTATTTGATGTGAAT